CCGCGCTGCTCCCAACCCTGGTGTGTCCAGGGGGCCTCTGGCCATGGGTCCCGGGAGCAGGACAGGGGCTAATCATCCCTCAGGTGCTTCAGCTCCTTCTGCAGCTTCTCCGTGAGTTTCTTGAAGGACGGCCGCTTGCCTGGCTCCAGCTCCCAGCAGCTCTTCATCAGGGCACAGACGGCGGGTGGGCAGCCCACGGGGGGCTCCATGCGGTACCCCTGCTCCAGCAGCTCCGTCACCTCCTTCAGGCTCTGGCAGGATGGAGAAGGATGCTGGACACCCCCCCACCTTCCCTGCCCCATCAGGGGCTCACCTTGGCCAGGGGACAGTGGGATGTCCGTGTCCCATTGGTGCCAGCGGGGTGTGACCTTGTGGCATCCTCCAGCACAACACTCACCAGCTTGGGGTAAGGGGCTCGTCCGAAGGAGAAGGCTTCCCACAGAAGGATCCCGTAGCTCCACACATCTGACTTGGAGGAGAATTTCTGTGGCGGCAGGAGGAGGGGAGGCTGAAGCTGGCTGAGGTCCACGCCGGGCCCCCATCCCTCTCTGAGGGCAAGACAGGAGACAGCACCTGCCCCCTGCCACCTCCAGCTCCCCGGGGTCCAACCCCCTCCTTTCCCATCACCCACATGGCCCTGGGTCCATCCTGCCACATCCCACCAGCGCTGCCCCAGTTCCCACTACACATCAGGGCAAGGGCTGGGTCAGGACAGAGCCCAGATTTTGGGAGATGCAGGGCTGAACGTGCCAGAAGCCACCGCAGGGCAGGGACAGGTCGGCGGACAAGCTGGAGGGACCCAAGGGGGTGACTTGCTTCGGGAGGAACCCCTCCAGCCCCCGCTCCCCTCCCACCATCACTCACGTTGTGTTTCAGGGCCTCCGGGGCAGTCCACTTCACGGGCAGCAACATGGCATCCGCACCCTTGGGATTGACCCGGGCCAAGCCGAAATCGCTCACTTTGGCTACGTTCTCCTCAGAGATGAGGATGTTGCGGGCAGCCAGGTCCCTGTGCACCAGCTTCTTGGACTCCAGGTAGTACATGCCCTGAGCCACATCCCTGTCGCGGCCGAGCGAGGCAGAGCGCAGTGTCACCGCGTGTCCCCCGCGGCTGCCCGGGGGATGCAGAGCACCAGTCCCCAGCCCAGAGGGAGGGAGATGGACTTACAGAGCGAAGAGGAGCAGCTGCTGGGTCGAGACAAGCGCCCGGCCCCGCGTGCGCAAAAAGTTCACCAGGTTGCCCTGACAGAGGGGGAGAAACGTGTAAGGACCAACGGGAAGGGGCTGTCCGGGGACTTTGCCTCTCACGATGGGGCTGCAGCACCCAGCATCCGTCCAACTCAGCCCCCAAACAGGGATTTTGTCCCCAAATCTGAGTGGCAATGGGTCTCACTGGCTGAGGATCAGCCAGGTGCTCTCACCTTGCTCATGAACTCCATGACGATGTAGAGGCCGTTATGCAGGATCACACCGAGCAAACACACCAGGTTTTTGTGCCGGACCTTCCTGAAATGGAGGGGACTTGGGTCAAGGGGGTGCCTGCTTGTCCCTAGGTCATGGGGCAGGGTTGGGCCATACCCCCCTTGGGACACTCACGTCATGGCAGCCGTTTCGGCCAGGAAGGCCTGGGCGGTCACGTCGCACTTGATGTTCTTCACGGCCACCTTCTGCCCCATATACTCGCCCTGCAGGACGTCTGGGAGGGGACACGGGGTGTCAGGCTCAGCCCCACACCTGACTCCCTGCATCCCAGGCTGAGTTTCCCCTGCCATGGGACGGGGAGGGTATGTCAGGGGGTGCCTTTTGGGAGCCCCCGGCCAGGCAACCTCCAACTCCATTTTCTCACCTACCTCCGAACTCGCCTTGCCCGATGCGGTCTCCCAGCGTGAGGTGCTGCAGGTTCAGCAACCAGCCGGCTGGGCGCAGGCACAAGGGCAGGTTAGCAAGGGCCGCCAGTGGGGCCATGCTACCGTGTCCCCAAAACTCAGACTGTGACCCTCTCCCTCCATCCCCTACCTTTGGCCAACTCCTCCTCGGCTGACTTCATCCCAGTTTTCGGTTTGGGCTTCACCAGCCTGGTGCAGATGGCTCCCTGCTCCCTCATGTAGTGCTGCCGAGGGATGAACAGACAGAGGCAATGCAGCGATGCCATCTCTCACCCCCAAGCTCGGGGCACGGAGCTGGGAAATGCCCATGGGCTGCTCCATTTCCCCCAGCGCCGCAATTCGCAGCCCACATCTCAGCCCTGCTCCCTTCTGGCACAGCCAAGGAAACACCATAATGGACCACGGGCGATGTGGGATGTCACCGGTGAGCTGGACGGCAGCTGATGGGGTTAAACACCCCGGTGGGTGCTGCAGCAGCTGGCAGCAGTTTGAAGAGGTGCCTGGGAGCGGAAGCAGTGGGACAGCCGCTGCGGTTACAGAGCGGGGTCAGGGCAGCTGAAAGGGGAAAGGATCCACCCAAAACCAGAAGTTGTGTCTAAATGAGGAAAAAATATGAGAGTGCAACCTCCCGGAGAGGAGATGGGCAGCAGCTACGAGACAAGGTCATGGTGGACCTTGAGGAAGAGCTCGCTGGAAGGGCGAGAGCTAATGCGGCAGCCAGGGAGCCCCGTGAGGTGAGCAGGCGAGAGGGGGGCTCAGAGGGGAGACAAACGTGGTAAAACACTTCAAAGCCTCGGCAGGGCTCAGACCTCATCCAGGGTCCACGGGTGGCAGAGGCTGCCAGGATCTTGATTCTTCCAAAATGCCCTAAGCCCCGCTGCTGCGTGAAGCCCCGAATGAGCAGGGATGGGGCAAAACTTGGTCCTGGGCAAGGGACCGGGGCTGCTGCCAGCGTGGCAGAGGATGTCCCTGGGGCATCCCAGATCTGTCCATTGCACCCTAAACTGAGTGGGAACCACGAGCCTTTGGCAGCGACGGAGAATCACCGGTGAAAACCCAGTGAAACCACAGGATAAAGGACAGGGACCTGTCACTGCTCCGTGTGACCCCGTGAGGTTCTTGCCCTCGGTCCAGCGCAGGTGGGGCTCACTGCCCGGGGAGCGGGGGGGTCTCACCTCAATCATGTCGATGAGGTTGGAGAAGTACTGCTGGCTGTCGATGCTGAGCGTGTTCTCCTTGTGCAGCACGCGGTAGTGGATCACCTCCTTGCCGAAGCTCACGCACAGCACGTAGTCCCCGGGGTGGCGGACAGACTCGCGCACCAGGAACAGCCCATCCTCGGGGGGCTGCAGCTCCTGCACCGCCTCCACCCCTGAGATCTTCCCGTGGAACCAGCTGGGGAGAGGGGCAGTGGGGAGAGGGGCTGTGCTGGCGGGCTGCCCCAGCAGCAGCAGCGGGACAGGGGGAGTAGAGCCCCCGCCAGAGCTACGTAAACTCCATTCCACAAACACCCTCCCCATGAGGTTTGTCCAAGATGGGTGGGCACAATGGGGGGGCTTTAAAGCCAGGCGCTACCCCCAGCAAATCCCTCCATCGCCAGGGCATGGCTACAGGCTGCTCTGCCCCCCGCTGCCCACCCAAAACCTGTCTGGGGGAAACGTGCTGGACTCATCCGCTGTCACAGCTCCTGGGGGC